GCCGATTCCCTGAAGCTTGCGCCGATTCTGCCAGAAGCTGCTCACACTGGGGCAGCTGCAAAACAAGGGCTCGGTGGCAAACATGTGTCTGGAGATCCTAACTGATTCCAGGGTCACATCAACATGGAACTTCGTGGGATCCTAGATACACCCTTGAGGTCTTGGTGCCGATGGATGTCGGTTCGGCCAAATTTTTCGCAGTGGAGGAGCTGCAAAACAAAGGGTTGATGGCAGACATGTGTCTGGCGCCCACAAGAGGTTCCAGGATCACTATGGTTACCGTGGGATCCTCCATTCACCCATAAGATCCGGAGCCCATTTAGCCCCGCCACAAGTCGAACGAAACAAATAGAACCCAGTCGCCAGATCGCTCGGGGGTCTGCTCCCCTCTGATCCGAGTCTGGCCCGAGGCTCTCGGCCGACCGAGTCTCGAGCTTGCTCGGGGGCCTGCTCCCCTCTGACCCGAGTCTGGCCCGAGGCTGTCGGCCGGTCGAGTCCCGAGCTCGCTCGGAGGCCCGCTCCCCCCCCCCCCCCCCTGATCCGAGTCTGGCCCGAGGCCGTCGGCCGGTCGCATCGACGCTCACCTGGTGGTCGGCCGGCGCGGCGCCCAGTGCTGCCGCCTTGCGGCCGGCGGCGGAGTCGTCCGTCCGGGGGACGGCCAGCCGGTGGATGAGACACATGAGCAGCGCGGCGGCGATTGGGGGGCAGCCGGCCAGCACGAACGCCGTCTGGTACGAGTGCGTCCAGTCGTACAGCAGCCCTGCGCGATTCGGCCAGGGCGCAACGCTCCGTCACGCGGTATGGGGGTGCGTGCGGACAGGCCTTGTGCGTCACACGTGCCGGCGTAAGGACAGCGCGTTACACCAGAGGGCATTGCACTGGGAGAAACGGGTTGGCTGCGGGTATGGTGCCAATGACATCTGTGCTCTGGAGGTACCAGCATGACGGCTGGTGAACAATAAGTAAGTAGCGATGGCAAGCATTTGCCCTATAACTGCCGCGTGAATATCGGACCTAGCTCATATGTAGGTCATTGCCAGACGGCGGAAAGATCACGCTGGAACCTAACGCAACCAACCCGCTACTGTGCAAGGTGCATTTTTACCATTCAAGCTGCATGAAACAGCACTGAACAAATGGAGCAGATGTTACGAGAACAATGGCGCAAGGGTTCGATGCGCAAGCTTAGGGTGTAGATGAGACTCAGCCGGCACAGACACAACAGGCTTCGTTTAGTGCACGCGCTCGCAGCTGTTGTGGCATCGGAGTCATGTGACATCCGCTCCAATTCACCGTCCCACAAACCCAGATCACCGACGGCTCAAGGTGTGTGCAGGGGTGGGAAGACCCGGTGAACTATGATGACTCAGTATTTACCGGGTCTCCACTTGGCATTCACGCCATTTGTGGCGGAGTTGAGAGGTAGGGATGTGGGAGGCTTCATGGACCGCGCAGGTTAACACGAAGATGAAGCTATACCGCGTTGAGTCGGATGACTCGTCCCAAGTGTAATGCGCACGGCGAGCTCTCGTGAACGACGGGCGCGGTGGGATGGTGTGAGTTACGATGGGCGGCGCGAGCACAACCAGCTTCGATGAGCGCGGTCAATCGCTGCAACTACTGACCGGCGCGTTCGGCCGCTGTGAGCTAAGTTGAGCGCGGTGCGTCGCCATGAGCTGTGAACCCGGCGAGCTCCTACGACCCGTGGCGAGCGCAGTGAACCACACCAAACTTTAATCAGCGCGGAAAGCCGCTGTGAGCTGAAGTGAGCTCGATGAGCTTCAGTGATCGCGACACTGAGCTGCTGTTAGCTGAGGTGAGCACGGTGTATCCCTTGTGCGATACAGTGAGCTCCACAAGTCCCCCTGAGCTGAGGTACACACAGCGGTGAGCTACGGTGAGCTGCTCACCGGCGACGGGCGGTCCGACGGTGAGCGGGACGGAGCAGAGCGTGAGCAAGAAGCCGATGGCCTGCTGAGGCGCCGGCCGGGCCCACCAGCTCGAACGCGATCGGGCCGAGCAGCGAGATGAAGCAGCCGTCGAAGAGGCCCATGCCCAGCGCGATGGCCACCAGCAGCGGGAAGCTCCGGCAGAACGGCAGCAGGATCGTCAGCGTGCCGATCACCACGAACGACAGCTGACGGCGGAGACGGAGTCAGTGGGAGTTACTCTCGGGGCGGGATGTGACCAGGGTGTGACGTTGTCGCAGTGACGCACACTTGGAGTGGGCCAGGACGGGACGTGATATAGTCAGCACGGTACGGAACATGATCAGCATGACGACGGCACGGGACAAAGTCAGCACGATGCAGGACATGGTCAGCATGGGGACGGCACGGGACATGGTCAGCACGGCACGGAACATGGTCAGCATGACGACGGTATGGGACATGGTCAGCACGACGACCGTACGGGACATGGTCAGCACGGTACGTGACATGATCAGCATGGCGGCAGTACGGGACATGGTCAGCACGGTACGGGACATGATCAGCATGGCAGCAGTACGGGACATGGTTAGCACGGTACGGAGCATGGGTACGGAACATCGTCAGCACGGTACGGAACATGGTCAGCAAGACACGGGACACGGTGGTGGTGAGGACAAGTATGCACTTATACACGACGGGTCAATATAAGATGAAAAACATGTTCGCCCCAGGCATTAAACCCTGTCCCAATGATCGCCGGCGTCGACATGGAACAGACAGTTACCACGGCACAGCGGGTGCACGTGTGGACTGGTCCCAGGGCCACCAAATGGTTTCGAGAACGGTGGAAAAACCTGGCAGACGGTCAATGTAAATGGTGCGCCTGGCACGAAACGTTGATAAGCTATCTTGAGGGTTCCGCTGAGCACACACAACATGAGTGTTCGCCGACAGTATCACTCCTCATATGACAAGGTGATTGGAAAATGATTGTTCGGGGCAGGTGGCAAGCAGAACTATGAATGCGGACAGGGTGGACAAACCATGCGTCTTCAGCATCGAGGGAGTTACATCGCATGCTTCCGACTAACATGGCCTGCACTTCTGGGTAGAATTCTTCGTTCGGTCGCGTAACAATACGTGGTGTTTGTGCTGTGCCCGCTCAATGCACTGCGAAAAGGCAGATCTTAAGATCTGAAACTAGGTGGGTTTTAAGATCGGCATTGCAATGCAACACATATCCGGGTGAGGTCCGGTTGCTTACGGAGCGTTTACCGATGGATCGCCCATCCCGGCAAATGCGCAGTGTATGCGGAGTCAGTACGACGCCCCACGACCCACACATCAACACCACTCAGCCAATCGACGGGCCATCTCCGGCTCCGGCCGGTGTCGTTCCACCGCCGACAGCCGACACCGGTCACAACACCAGCGTCGACTGGCCGCCGAGAACGGCACCGGTTCTCACGAGCGATGGTCCGGCCGGGGGTCGTGACCCAGCGCCCACCTGCTGCAGCATGATCTTGTTGAAGCGCGGCAGGTCGGCGACGCGTCCGAACACGAGCCGGCCCAGGCCCGAGGTCAGGCCCAGGCAGAGCACCAGCCATGTGCCATCCTCGCCGGGGAACGCCTTCCGCACGTACTGGATCTGCCGGTCGGGACGGAACGCGGCTCGGGTCAGGCGGCGGCCACGGGCTCCCAATGGGCGCCGTCCCCCCCCCCCCCCCCCCCCACCCCTTCTCTCTCTCGAGCTGTGCTGCTCCCGCCTAAACGCATATCGGAGAATCTCATCCGCTCTAACAATCCAGCTAAATCGCGCTCCCACCCTTCCCACCACCGTACTTTCCTGGTGTTCTGGATTTTAGCCGCGTCCCCCCGCGCATCTCGCTCTTATCTCTCTGTACTCTGAAAGCACCTTCCTGCAGTGCCACCACCAACTTTATCCTTGCCATTCTACACTGCTCCGGAATCACTGGCGCTACACTCTGCTGCTGCATTGCAAGCTGTCATGTTTCTGATACCAAGGCTTCTGTCCAGAGCTGACATAAGATATGCGGGTGCAAATACTGATTCCGGTGATACTTGTGTAGTGTTCTATTGCAGGTGGTGTTAAAAACTGTCTTGACTTATCGAGAACTGGCAGAGGCCCAGGTGACCTCGATTTACAGCACTGCATATGTGGCCGTAATCTGACATCAACCAGAGTCAGAAAGCAGTTCACCGGAAAATGATAATGATCGTTGAATGCTCGCTACCTTTAAAAGGTGACTCGGGACAAAACAGTTCCCCACCCTACCACCATCCCTCCAGAGTTTGTACTGTCGCCCCGCTGGTCTGTTTGTTGGCCGCATGCGTCGGAAATGTAGGCCGGTCAAGAGCCTCCACCTACGCAGTGAACCCTTACGCTACAGCTTACGTAACGGCAACACGCAGCCATCTATCACATTCCATCGTCGGAAGCTCAATCTGCTCTCGTATGCTGCGGATGAGAGATGACGCGCATATCGACGAAAACAATGTCGGGGCCGACGTCCCGGTGCCCAGTCCCAGACTGGGCCGTCAGGCCAGCGGGGCGAAGGGTCACAGTTCCCCACACCCCCACCCCTTAACACGTGCCGTGTCAGCTGCTGATCGAGCCGCGCGTTGCCAGCTGGTGCTCTGCCGAGGCAGCTGGGGCTTGTGAAACGGCACATCCGGCTGTTCCGGCAGGCGGCCGTGCTTTGAGGCGGGACGTGCGAAGCGTTGTTCGCCTTTCTGTGCGTTGTTCGCTCATGTCTGTGTTCTTAATCTGGGCAAAGTGCAGTGGGATGGGGCGCACCGTTGGCGCTCACGTACGTACTTTCAGGACACGCTTCTAGGGAGTGTTCCACATTTGTACGCGATTTTAGCTGAAATAGCTATCCTAAAGATCATTTAATGCAGTTTACAAACCGGCCCTTCTAAGGACCTAAACCCCGTCTAGTTTCTGAGCCATACGTCCGCGAAGATGTGCAGACTATTTCGCGAGGACTATTTCGAGGTCACCCAGGCATCTATGACGCCACAAAAGCGTCATTCAGATCCTGCCATTTCATTAGCCATAAGGCCATCAAAGTCAAGAAAAATATAACCGTCGAGTCGTTCATATTTGGCGTTCGTGTGACCGATTTCCAAATATAACAGCCGCCAATTGGCTCCCAATCAATGTTGTGCAAGGTACGATTACGTAATCAAACAATGACGTCTGGAAGAGCATGTTCACTAGCCAGAAAAATTATGTTGTCTAGAGCGGCCCTCTCCCCTTAAAAGTATACCAATTATTAAAAGTCAGCATATTCTGTCAAATCGGACGCTTGCATCAATATACTCGAATGGGGACCATTCCCTTGACTTTGAGACCAAGGGAGGAATTTAACTGCCTCCGTGGAAGAACATGCGCATCGCACAAACGCACAGCAAGCAGCCTATCCAGCTGAATTTAGAGCGGCTTCGATTGACTTCATCCAGCAGACTAGTCGACGAAGTGACTTAGTTCATTCCCGACGCAGCGCGATGGCTGACACGGAAAGCAGGCGACTCCGCCATCCGTACTGCTCCGCTCAACCGCCGCGCCACCGCGCACGAGCTCATTCTGTGAGCGGAGACCTCGACATGAAGTGCTACAAGCAGCTGCCACTTTAGCGATCGGTCGACCT